TCTTAAAATCCCTTATTTCTGAGATGGACCCTGCAATAAAATGATAAAAAAAAAAGTCCCTCTCTGAGTGCTACTCAGTGCTCTTTATTAAAACAATGAGAGTGTAAATGAAAAACTGTTGCAGATGCGTGTACCCCCTGTTTAAAATTATATAATTTTTTGATCCGAGATTTGTAGGGATAATACTTATGATTTATTAATTATCTAAATCTGTTTAAATCCACATCTCTAGCAGCCTTCCAAACAACTGGCAAAAAATTAAAAACACTTAAAATATTGAAGTGCCTAATAAACTTTACATTTTACTTTTAAAACAGACAGTCTTTGCCCAGGGTGTCTGATTATATTGAACAATTCCACAAACTAAAATACCAATTATATTTTGAATAGAATAAACATTCTGAAATTCATAAGTAATCCACCCAAAATACAAATTTATGACAATCTGAGATATTGTTTACTAACATAGTAAACATGGTAGGTAGACAATAAGAATGGTGCAGAAATAAGTTTACTAACCAACTGATCCAGATTGTTGATATATACTCATATCACCTTCGAAGTCATTGTTTTCTGAGGAGTATGTTTCATAATATTTCATTCTGATAACCAAGCCTTTCACCTCTTTATTGTACTGTTTACATTTGGCATATTTGTTTTTTACCCAGAAGTACAGGAATTTCTTAAAAAATATTTCTAAATACGGTCTTTTTTTTTATGATGTCCAGCTATGGAATTTATTTCTCCAGTTCCCAGATCTTGAAATCAACAGTAGATGCTGCACTCTGAAAAATGTTGTCCCTTCTTACAGTGTTCTGTTTTGACGCCAGAGTTGCTTCTTTTTGATTACATGTTCTGTGCCTTTTCCCTTGGATCAAACTTTTAATTCAGTACATGACCTATTGTGCCATAATTTATAAAACTTGACCTTAAAAAATTGGGTTCCCCTGTTTTTTCATAAAGAAAAGCAGCCTTTAACTCAAGTTTTTTTATAAAGGCTTATACATTCTGCATTTTTTATTTAGATGTTTTAAGAGATGATCATAAGTTTAGATTTTACTAAAGATTTTACTTTCTTGTATTAAATTGAGATTTCATTATAAACAGGTTTATTTAAACGAATTAATTACAATTAAAATCCAATTTAAATAAAAATCCAATTAAAAATCATCAATTTTTGTCCATGCTGTTTGTGAGTTATGAAGGAGGACATACTGAAGTCTCTGATAAAGTCAAGTTTCTGCTCAAACATACATTTTTATGGTGGGGGGGTATAAATGATGATTAGCATTCTGAGGAGACAAGGAAAGCTCCTGGGGAAGGGCAGAATGATTAAATGTATAGGTAAACATTGCAGTTCTTCTGATTAAATCTATTGTTTCATAGGATATCAGCTTTAGAAAGGACAAACTTGTGAGAGCCTCTTTGACCTGCTTGCTTTTGTGAAGGTGAATATTTCTGGAGAAATATGAATGCCAGATATGCAGTGATTAAGATCTAATTTATTCCCATATACTGATTACAGTTTCTATATACTAAGTGATATTCTGTGTACATTGGGTTTATTTTGAAAGTGTTCTCAGTTTCATTTAAACCCTTTTGGCCCAGAGGTTTTGGGTGTTTGTGTTGTTTCAAGTAGCCTGTTGTCTAAAGCAGAGAGAATATACAAAATATCCAGGGTCTATTTTGTTTTGTCAGCACACTGTCTATGTTGTGAAGACCAAAACTATAACTGATTTAAGGGGAAAAAAACTGTAACTGGTTTAGGGAGTTCATCAGTAGTTTTTCACTGAGATGGGTGGGAATGGTGTCCCTAAGGTTTATTTGCCAGAAGCTGGGAATAGGCCACAGAGGATGGATTACCTGTTCTGTTTATTCCCTTTGAGGCACCTGGTATGGTCAGTGTTGTAAGACAGGATACTGGATAAGATGGATACTTTGGTCTGACCCATTCTTATGCTCTTTGAAATTTTTAAGCTAAATTAATGGTAGTGGATACTGATTTCTGATTTGTTTTTGGTTGGTAGGATTGTCTGATAAAGGACAAATTAGAGACCATTATCTGCTGGCAACATTTAAATTGCTTCTTCCTCTTGAGCTTTGAAAGGTGGCCACTCAAAGTGTATTTCATTTTATATACTATTATATATGTGTGTGTGTGTGTGTGTATGTATGTGTATATGATATATATATGAATGTATGGTAAATATTGTATGAAACTAATTCAAGAGAGGGTACTTAGTCTTGAGAAGTTAGATTATCACTGTTGCCTTTTTTCCTCTAGTTTCAAATGTTAGTCCTTGTTGTAATACTCATTAATATTTTAAGTTGCAAAACAAAAATCACGTAATTGGAGTACTTATTTACTTGGTAACAGTCAAACCAAACAAATAGGGCCTGATACTAATGTGTGTAAAAGTCCCCTTGGCTTGATTAGGAAATTAGCAGGCAAATCATATTTTGTGTTCTTGACCAGACAAGTACTTTTAATTGCATAGGAAACATACTGGATTATTTATTGGATATCTTTGAAATGACCATGCAGGTGACATAACGACTTTCCTGCCTATGTAGTAATACCTAATCTAATTATAGGTTGTTTTAAAAGAGTTAAATATAGAGTACTGTATATCTATTATATTTGATTTTTAATAACTTTTTTTAAGAAACAGCTAAATTCTTGAAAATTGTATACCTATAGTATTTTAATTGAATTGAATGGCTTTAGTAAATAAGGGTATGCCTTTAGTAAATAAGGGTATGTCTATACTACAGCATTATTTCGAAATGTTATTTTGAAATACTGTAGTTAATTCGAAATAGCTTATTTCAAAATAACGCGTCTACACACAAAATGCATTTTGAAATAGCGTTTTGCTATTTCAAAATAGCGTGTCCACACTGAGTGGACGCTGAAGTGCATTTAAGGCAGGCTGGAACCCGGTCTGGCAGGGCATCCGGTCAGGAGTTACTTTGTGTGATTGCTGCCTGAGGCTATCTGAGGCCTGTGCTTAAAGGGATTCTCCTCTCCTTCCCCCCCCCCTCCGGACAGCCAGTTGTTAGCTTTCCCTGCTTGCTTGCCTACTTCGATGAGGGACAACAAAGCATTTTGTCTCTGCGTGCTCTGGTTGCCCTCACTCGGGACACCACAGCACTCTGCAACATGGAGCCAGAGATACCCCTAGGCACTCTAGTGCTTCTCATGGTCGTGTTGTTGCAGGCCTGGTTGCACTTTCTGCAGGCTGCCATCCAGGAGGTCCATCAGGGGGCTGTCAGTATCCAGTGTCCTAAGGGAGAACTTCCACCCTGAGAAGCACTAAGAGCCTCCCTGGTCTGCCCCACTAGGGGCTTGTGCCTCATTCCTCTCTCACTTCCTTCCACTTGCCCCTCCCTAACTCCCTTTCCTGGTGTCAAATAAAATACATGTATTTTCATGACCACAAACTCTCTTTATTTAACAAAATGGGGGGGAGGGCTGCATATAACCATGAGGGTTAGACGGGAGGAGAGAATTTGGGAGAGGGGAGGGGGAAACCCTCTGGAAAGGGAAAGAAGGGGAAGGGGAAGCTCAGGATTCAGTGTTCGGGGTCTCGCCGGACCAACTTGATTTTCATGCAGTCCTGCTCCTGGGTTCACGTGTGACCTTTGGTGGCCAGGCTGGCAGCTATCCTGCCATAGACGGCCGCGTTCCTCCATCTAGTGTGGAGATCATGGACATTGGGGGCATCCCCCCAAACCTGAATAAGGTCCATTAATTTCACCCTTGACCAGGAAGGCACCCACCTTCTCCAGCCCCTGTCAGGCTCCTGGGAGCTAGCAGACTGCTTCTGGGGAGCGGTGGAGGGCTGGCTGCTAGTGGCTTGCTGGCTCATGTTTGGGGGCCACTGGGTCAGGGGCAGTGACTGCTGGCTCTGGGCTGGCGGGCTTGGACTCTTGGCACTGTGGCCAGAGTCAACCCTTTTGAGGGCTCCAGGGAGGGAGAGGAGTGTTCTTGGTTGAGGCTGGAGTGGCCACCAGGGCACCTTGGGAAGGCTGGAGGCCCCTTATTTCGATATAACTGTCTACACAGCACTTATTTCGAATTTGGCATTATTCCTCGTGGAATGAGGTTTACCAAATTTGAAATAAGCGCGCCGCTATTTCGAATTAATTTCAAAATTGCGGTTTGTCTGTGTAGACGCTCTTAAAGTTATTTTGAAATAAAACAACTTTGCTGTGTAGACATACCCTAGGTGATGCTTTAATCTATCTACAGGAAGGTTGGTTGGTTTTGGGGGGGGGTTTTACATGGAATATTTTGATTTTTATGCACATTGTGCAGTGGCCACAGATCTAGTTTTGAGGTATCTAGGATGTTTTTCTTTCAATGGAGATATTTTTTACTTTTAAATTAAAAATTCAATAATAAAATTAATTAAGCAGCATGCTCTGTCATCTTTTTCCACAGGCACCTAATTGCAGCTCTGTTTATAGTATATCCAATTTCTGTTTTTAAAAATATTTGACACTTATTAGTTTTCTTAATAAGTGAAAGATAATATTTAAGTGACATGAGAAGGTGTGGATGCCTTAATATAAGGAGTAAGGAGAACTTGTAGTCTTGAAGCAGGAGATCTGCCAGGAACATGGCATTACAATACCTCTATTAAGGTTTTTTGCCTTGATCTGACATAGCCTGGCACCTATCCTTGGGATAGACATGGGTACATCTGAGCCCCTTTTACAGTTCATGAAACTCGTTGATTTCAGTAAGATTTTGCAGGATGCAAATCTGAGTGGAATTTGGAGTTCATGAAAATAACTTGCACTCAAATTTTATGCTAAAAATGTACATAATCTGATACACAGAAATAATAATAAAGATCTAGACTTGTGTAAACTACTATTCTTACAATTTTTCAGAAATACAAATACTAACTCTTGGAGCTTTTATTTGTGGAACAGTACTGGTGGTCAACTATCAGAGTGTTGGGATCATTCACTTGTTGTTGTTTCTTCAGATGTCGGGTATGTGACTTCGCTACAACAAATATGAATAGTTTGAAATGTCATATGAGGCGCCACCCACAGGAGCACCAGGCAGTGCAGCTAATGGAACAGTACAAGTATGTAACAGTTATCAGTTGGCAAAAGCAACAGTAGTGTGATTTTGTTGCCTTATGAAATGAAGTGTAGTTTGGATTCATTGCTTTTTCTGTAGTCTAAATAAGACAATAACTTGGATAGATAGTCATGAGTTATTTTTTTCTCCCTGTCTCATTTTCTATTGCAAGCTAAAATAATACAAAAGCAAAAGTATTGGATCTAATTTAGTAATTTTAATAACTCCATGTGAGAGAATATCTGGATTTGTATCATGTTGTCCTAGAAAAGAACACAAGTCTTACTAGTCACTTATGTCTGTGTATATTTGGTAAATAAGTGTCAATAGTAGTCAGTTCCCACATGTTATATATTGAGAGAGAATTTTATTAAGCAAATGTTTGTTTAAAAAAAAATTGAAAGCAAAGACAAATTTAACAAGATACGGTACAGTGAAATCGGCAGTCAATGGTGGGTTACAGCAAAAACAAGCAAGCATAAAAGGTTTAAAAGCGATAGGCCTTGTTCCAGACGTAGGTGGGAAGGGTGGTATTGAAGGCTTAGTCCATAAGTGTCCTCGGGGGCACCACCCATAAAGGAAAACAAAGTCTTTGTCTCTAACATAGTTCATAAGTCCATGGGTGGAGCTGGCCCCGTGGTGTGGTCTGTCCTGCGTCCTCTTCTGTCCAGTGGTCTACCTCAGTGTTTCTCAACCAGTGATACAAGTACCCTTAGGGTACTTGAGAGAAGTCTGGTGGGGGTAGGTTAACACAACTGAAATGTGGAGAAAACTGAATTTTTGAATTTTTGTTCAGCGTTTTATTATTTTTGTTCTTTTTACACCCTAAAATTTCATCGCCTGCCCAGCTATGATTAAGTTGTTTAAACAAATGTGTTGCAAAGGTAGAAAAAAATTGTGTCTCGGAAAACTGTAGGTACTGGGGGTACTTTTTTTTTTTTTTTTTTAAAGGGGTTTTTTTTTTTTAAAAAAAAAAAAAAAAGAAACACTGGTCTACCTGAAACAAGAAGTAAGCATAGTCCATCAGGTAAAATAAGTTAATGCTTCCCCTGATCTGGTCCCTACTACACTTGATCTTAGCCAAAAGGCTTGGCTACCTAGTGCCAACTTGCAATAAGGAATTGAAAACCTAGGACAAAAACAAAATTGCAAAGTCACTAAACAACTCATACTGCAGGACTGGTCAGGCAATCAGAGCCACTGGAATTAAACACATATATAAAAGTCATGATCTCAAGAAAACAATTCATATTCTTCACAATTTCGAAATGTAAACTTAGACTTTCAGTGTTAAAACATTAGTTATACGGGGTGTGGAAAAAAAACACACTCCTGAGCAATAAAGATTCCAGTGCTGAAAAGTGCCAGTGGAGATGGCACTTTGCTCCCGCCATAAAGCTACTGGCCCTCTACTGGGAAGTGTTGTGTGTTTTGTTTTGTTTTAATTTCCGGGAGAGCTCTTCCCCCACCAATAAAAATTAGTCGCTGCACTGCACCGTAGGCAGTGTGGACATACGTTAAACCTCATAACTACACTCCTTTTCAAGAGCATTTTAGTAGCACTAGAAACCATACACTCTGAAACCTCACAGTATGCTCTGTAAATCAGCATTCTGCGGCGTTACTTAGGATTACTGAAAACTTCCACATCTCTGGCTTCTCGTGTCCCTGATGATCTGCTGTGTCAAAGGCTATGAGATAATTTTTACAATATGTCCATTTAGGACATTCTTGAACAGTGAAGCTTAATAATTCAGCACCGGATAACTCTGTAGGGCAAATTAAACTGAATTCTTATTGGGTTGCCAACCCTCCAGATTGGCCTCAAGTCTTCAAGAATTAAAGATTAATCGTTAATTAAAGGTTATGTCATGTCATGAAATCTGCAGGTATATATCCAACAAAAATTGGCAACCCTAATTCTGTATGATGATTTATATTATAGAAATAAGGGACTCGATTGCCAGGTACTAGACACAACTGCAGAATGACCTAGTTTCTGTCAGCTAAGTCTTCTATAGGACAACAGACTGCAAAATTAAGTGGTCTTCCCTGTCTTTTTTAGTAAAAGTGTAATGGGGATAATGTAAAAATATAGTGTGTAAAACATTGGCCTAGATCGGCAAACTCATTTTATAGCCTCACATGTTGTGCAATATGCTTATATATTGAACTATGGACAGTAATCCACATACTCAGCTTTGATTTTAAATGAATGACAGCTGAAGGTACTTGATACCTAATAGCATTAACTCCATGGTGTTATATAATTCTGAAAGCAAAAATGTGATACTAAGTGACTGAGCTAGGAGTCTGCTCTTTGAACTATAAGAATTCAAAAATAAGTATTGAACTCTCACTTCAGTTACTTTGTACTAGGGATGTGAATGAGTAGTTGACTACCTGATAATCAGGAGCCTATCGGGTAGCACTATTGACTATTCGATAACTCACACACACGCCGCTCTGCATTCTTAAAGGGACAGAGAGGAGCCGAAATACAAAGATGCTGACTCAGTCTCTGGTCCCCCATCAGGTCTCAGGACAGCCCTCCCCCGCGCTGCCACTTTGCATTCTGAAAGGATAGAGCAGCCGCTCCCATGGGGGTGTCTCAGCACAAGCTCCCCCTCCCTTCCATTGCCATTCTACATTTTTAAAGGGACCGAGGCGAGCAGGACCAGCTGCTGCTGCTCTGTCCCTTTCAGAATGCAGAGTGGCAGCGCGAGGGAGGGGCTGTCTTGAGATCCAACAGGGGACCAGAGACTGAGGCTATGTCTACACTGCAGAGCTTATCCCAGAAAGCTAAGCCACGTCCAAGAAACGTGTCTGCTTTTTCAGAACAATTTCTATTGTATGAGGAAGAAGGTATGTGTCGAAAAAGGAGGTTTTTCTGAAATTTGGCCCCATGTAGACGGGCCAAATTTCAGAAAAGTCTCTTCCAAAAGAAAAGCAGAAAAAGATACACAAATTGCAGTTCGCAATTTGCGTATCTTTTTCCAACTTTTCTTTGCAGGCGAGACATAGCCTGCGTCAGCGTCTTTGCACACCGGCTCCTCTCTGTCCCTTTAAGAGTGCAGAGAGGCAGCCAGGAGTTGTTCTGACATCCAACGTGAGCCAGAAGTGAGCACTTTTATTGCCCTTCCTTAACAACTAGTGAGCACTTTTATTGCCCTTCCTTAACAACAACAACTACTAGCAAATTAATCACTACTTAACATCCCTGCTTTGTACCAGTGGTTCTCAATCTGTGGTTCATGGGCCACTTGTGGTCCAATCGACACAGTGCTGCAGCCCATGTAACATCCTCAGGGTACTAGATGTAGTATCGGATGTGCCCACAATGGTAAATAGGTTGAGAATTATTGCTTTATACTACCAAACCTGAACACTGAATAAGGCAAAGATTCTGCAATAAAATAGTACTCAAGCATGTAATTAGAGACTTAAAGTGGGCCAGTAATATTTTTTTATTGGACAAACTTCTGTTTGGTGAAAGAGTTTTCCAGCTACTCAGAGCTATTCTTTAGGTCTGGAAAAATAGAATTTCCTCTTTTTGGGGGGGGAGGGGGAGACTTTGTTAGTAGAAATTGAAGCCATCGCAAATTCAGACTGCTGTAGTTGAGACTGATCCTGCTGCCATTTAAAGTCAATGGCAAAATTCCCATTTACTTGTGTCAGGCAGTATTAGGATTTCCATATGATTATACTACTAGACAATATTTTTAATACTTTCAGGCCAGCTCCTTACAGGCACCAGCTCCTGCCTCTCACCCCTCCCCCTTGCTGCCTCTGAGGCAGCTAAGGGGGAGGGGAACTCGTGTAGTCAACAGGATTAACCGATAAGTCCAGGTTATTCAGTTAATTATGTAGTTGTCTGCCCAATGACATCCCTAATAGACGATTACATCAAGTAGGATTCTGTACAAATTTATCTAAAAACATACTTAGGATCTCATTCTATGACACTTTCTCAAAGTTTTTTAATCATCCAGCTGAATTTCATAATACATTATTTTCTGTTCAGTGTGAGTGAACAGTCCATAAACCATCATATTCTAGTTTTCTGTTAAGACTTTTTCATGAGGGTTTTCAATAATCTGAATTTGTAACTAGTGTTGGAAAGGGTTGGATTAATGGGATAATGTCTGCTGTGTCAAATATCAACTAGAAATTCAAACTAAATTTAATGGAGAAATAAGTTGTTATACCTGTTCAGTGGCAAACTTTACAAACTTACTCTTTCTGGTTATTTGTTTTACCTCAAAATATCACAAGACGTTAATCTACATTTATTACCTAATTTCACACTGAATTTCATTCATAGAATGGAAGGTAAATTGAAGTGATAAGAACTAATAGGTTTTTTATGGCCAAACTGATAGCGACATTCTACTTTTTTTTGTTTTGATTCACTTTTTAAATTAAATTTGATTTACATATTTCTTAGCTATGAGCTGTTTCATACAAAGTTTTATTCTGAAAACAGGGATGTAAAATCACGGTTAATCAATTAAGTGGGATTCTGCTCCCATCGGCGTGCCCTTTCCCTCTGTGCTGGACTTTGGCAGCCAGGGACCACCACCCCAGGTACGGGAAGGGCTGCTTCTGCTCCTGGCCCCTCCACCGGCAGTGTAGCAGGCTAGGGGGGAAGCAGCAATAGCTGGCAGCCCAGTGCATGCAGGAACTGGCTTCTGCTCCAAGAGCCATAGTGCATGGGTTTGTCACTGCTGTATGCCCCCCACATGGGGGAGCTGGCTCCTGCTCTCAGCCCTCCTGTACATTTGGAGCAGCTCTCTACTTGCGGTGGGTCGTGGGCAAGGGGGCTGCTCTCAGGTACCAGTTAACCCGTACCCTGTTAACCATTCACATCACTCTCTGATCACATTTACTTGGGCAGCATATAAACTTAAAACAAGGAAGGTAGACTTTTATTTTTAATTAGTGACATTAAATTACAATGATACACTGGATTTTCTGCAACATAGAGAAATTTCTCTTTGACCAAATGTTTCCAGAGTAGGGGGATTAATTCTCATCTGTGTTAAATTATTTGGCTGGTTTTAGAAAATATATTTTAAAAAAAGTTATTAGACTTGACTTCCAATATGTTATCTTATGTTCACTGTTTTTCAGATGTTCTCTCTGTGGATATGTATGCAGCCACCCTCCTTCCCTGAAGTCTCATATGTGGAAACATGCAAGTGACCAAAATTATAATTATGAACAAGTGAATAAGGCTATTAATGATGCAATTTCACAAAGTGGCAGGTGTGTATGAATTATACTTACAAACTAGAATCCTTAATATAGACTTTTGAAAGCATCAACTTGACCCAACATAAAGTGCAATCTATAAATTTAATCTTCAACAAAAACAAAAAATACTATGACTTTTTTTTATTTTGAAAACTTTATTTTTTTAGGTTTCAAGGGCAGCTACCTGGAAAGACTTCAGTAGAAAGCACTGATGAAAGTTCAGTTCTAGGAAGTTCAGAGAACTTGGTGTCATTTTCAGAGTCCATTAATCAGACTACTAATGAAATTTCAGGTTCTAATGAAAATCAGAAGCCTAATCCAACAATTAATACCTCATGCAATTTAGAAAAGAACTGCAGTCAGCCTCATCTTGGCACAGAATACTGTGTTCTACTCTTCTGCTGTTGTATTTGTGGGTTTGAGTCCACCAACAAAGAAAATCTGTTGGAACATATGAAAGAACATGAAGGTGAAATCATAAACATCATTCTAAATAAGGAACACGGTGCAACTCAAAATGGCAACTAGATCCTTCAGTTAGCTAAAAAGAAGAGAATTTCCCCAAAAAGTTTTTTTTTCTATCTTTGCTAATGTTACCTGAGATACTTGCTCCAGGGAGGAAATGCGAGTAAAATTTCCTATATTGAGTCTTTGTTGCAATTACAGACCATAATTTAACTGACAAAAAATGTTAAGTACTCCATTTTGGGAAACTGTGGAATGATCCTCCTAACCCTTTACCCTTCCTTGTGATGCCAAGAGTCTGGATTTCTCAATGGCTAGTGTTAATCCAAAGTGCAATAGCATAAAGAAATTCAAACTCAAGTGCAAAGCAAGGTATTGGCTCAATTCAAAAGGCTGCTTTCCCATCCCGCCCCCCTGGAAAGTATTTAATTAAGGGTGTCTAATTCATTTCAAGCAAATATTTTTTTCCTTTGATGCAGATGAGTGGGCCAGATACAAATTTAATTCTCTCATAAAATTTAACACTTGATTCTGAGGGGTAGATTGAGGAGTCTGGGATGGCAGCTTCTGATTTATTTTTAAGACCTTTCTCTTCCCAACTCAACAATTCTTTGTGAATAAGCAGTAGTGGATGGTATTCCTTTTGTCACAAATAGAAAGTGTTGAGTGGCCTGAAGACAGTAAGTATCTAGCTGATTATTTGGCCAGATTTTAAGTAAATACAAGATCTTGTTTTAGCCATTTTAAATTCATATGTAAAAATGATCCATTGTCTGACATCTTTCATTAAAATGTTCAGCCAAACTTCTAAATACACATGGATCACAAAATAAGTTGGCATTTTAACTAGTGATTTTTTCATGTCAGTACATACTGAGTGCCATAACCTTGGGGTGGGAACAGGCAGTCACCAGAAATGTAATTGACGAAGGAGCAGATTTTCAAGATATTTAGGCCCAAAAGATGTAAATAGGCACTAATGGGATTTTCAAAAGTGCTGGGTGTATAACCACTTTTGAAAATTGCAGTAGGTACCTAAATACCTAGAAGAGTCTGGCTCTAACCCTGTTGAACATACCTTTTTGAGTGAATTATTTCATCTTTCTCAGAACGTTTTAAATTTCACAATAAGAGAATTTAGCAAAAATAATGTAAGTAATAATTAACCTGCTTTGTGGAAACAACCTTTCCTCCACTGCACCAAAATAGAAAGGAACAAAATCTATGATGGTTAGAGTAAGTTTTACAGCTGCATAGGGAACTTGATAACTGTGTTTTATTTTTAAAACAGTCCTTACATATCTCTTCTTTTTTTAAATCATTTTGCATCTAAAATTATAATGCTGATTCTTCATGTAGTTTCAATGACCTACATCATTTTATATATCAATGGGAATTTCAGTATGCAGGTTAATTGCCAGGAAACTCTGCCAATATCACTTTCAAAGTTAGCCCGTAAAATTGCTTTTATAACATGCTTACTACAATAAAAAGTGGAACATTGGAAAAGGACCCCTTTAGCAGTCAGACTACAGCACTCTGCTGAAGTATGAAACATCCAATTCTAGTTTAAAGGTAGCTTCAACACTCCAATTGCGCTGAAGCATGCCCAGTTCTTGGCATCTCAGTTATTTATGCCTGGATTGGTTGCTCATTTGTTAAAAATTGTGAGTACCATTATTTTGATTTGTTTTAAAGAGTGATGCAGAAAGTTTTGTATTTATTACCTATTTATACTATTTTTGGTAAAAATAAGCTACAACTATATAAACCTGAAAAGCTGGTATATGAGTAGTATACAGTCTTCATGGTGCTATATTTGTGTTGTTTTTCTAAGTTTTCCTGTGGACAGTGAAGCTGGTCAAAGAGGAAAGAAAATAAGAGGACAGGTTTTTTTATATATACAACTTGAATTTTAAGAAGCAACCCAGGGTATAAAGGCTGGCTAAAGAGTAGAGTTGTACTTCAAGTTGAACTGGTGAAATCTTCAAGTGGGTTTGGTTAAAACATTTTGAATGTTTTCTATCTTTAATCCTATTAATTTTGTTATAAATTAGATTAGATGTACAAATATTATTTTAAAAATTGGTAAAGATCTATCAACATGCAACCCATTTTACTAATAGGTTTGACCTATCCATGAACTAAACATAGAACCTTCCAGATGTTTTAATAAAAATGTAAAGTAACTTCTGTATGTTTTACACTTTTTTCTAAAAACAAAATATAAAAGGGCCAATCAGAAAATTTTTCATATGCATAGAGGACTAATTTGACACTTCCAAAACATGATTATAATGAACAATTTTAGTAAGAGGTAGAAAATATTTAATTAGAGTACTGATCTTGTCTTTGTGCCAGTGTTGACGCCAATATTATATCCTTAATATAGAATTCTGGTACATTTAAAAAACAAGAAATTATTGGGCACATGTTTTCACTATCTGAGCGCACATTCTAACATTCCAGCTCCTATATTTACAGATCCTACTTATTTAAAAATCTGGTAAATATAAAACTATTAAGAGTCCACAGTAATTTGAATTATAAATTATTATTTTATACTCATGGAAACTGCATTGTGCCACGACCTTAACTTCATTTTTCCCATAATGGATCATACATCCTAAAGTTGTTACACTAAGGGTGTGTCTAAATTACACCCCTCTGCCGACTGAGGGATGTAGATTAGGCATGTTGCTATTGCAAATGAAGTGGGGATTTAAATATCCCGCGCTTCATTTGAATATAAATAGCCGTTGCTTTTTGCCGACACGGCACTTTGCCGGCAAAAAGCGACAGTCTAGACGGGGATCTGTCAACAAGGAAAGCCTTCGCTGACCGATCCCTTATGCCTCATGCAGTGAGGTTTACAGGATCGGTTGGAAAAGGCTTTCATTGTCGACCGATCCCCGTCTAGATTGCCGCTTCTTTCCGGAAAAGTGCCACACTGGCAAAAAGCGGCAGCCATTTTTATTTAAATGAAGCGTGGAATATTTAAATCTTTTTTTTTTTTTTTTATAGTGATGTGCCTAGTCTGTCCCTCTGTCGGCAGGGGGGTGTAGTTTAGATACATGGAATATTTAAATCTTTTTTTTTTTTTTTTATAGTGATGTGCCTAGTCTGTCCCTCTGTCGGCAGGGGGGTGTAGTTTAGATACACCCTATTGAAAATATGTGAAGAACTTGGAGATGTGAGCTAGGAGAAAGATGGCAGCAAACCCAGATTACAAAGTCAGGAAACTTTTTTTTTTGTTGGGGGGGTGGGGGAGGTTGCAGTATTACTGTAAATGCCCAAGACTACTAACAGCTATTTATAGTGTGTTCTTTACCATTTCATTATTTGTGCAAGTAATCTTTGGTTAACCATGTATTGTTCTAAAGCAGCAGAAATTAGGGGTTGGTAGGGGGCCTTCTAAAAACTGATAAGGAGAAATACAACTGCCAAGATATAATACTTTCTGGCCTTCAGAAAATAATCTTCAGAGAGAGAAATCCTTATTGATTTTTTTCCACCATACTGCCATCGATATACATTCAGAATTTTCCCTGACTTTAACAGAAGCTCTGAATGTGGAATTATTACAGAATCAGTTCCTGAAAGCAAGTGTTGTGATGATGATACCCACTTTGTAAAGCATTGTGTGGTTAGTTTGTTTGCATGTTTGGGGTTGTTTTAACAGCACTTTTCAAGGTTACAGCATTTCAAACTTCTCATTCCTTTGTGAATTTACAAGTATTTTAGGATGCTGCTAGCACACAGACCTAGCAAATTATGACACTTGCAGTGCTGTTTGTTTGGTTTGTTGTTTTTTTAATTTTGCTCCAAGCAGATTTTAGTCAGTGATACGGACTATAACTTACAGCCTTTGTTCTAGATGCTTACAATTTGGAAATTCTCATTTTCTACTCATGAAATAGCTGGGGATTTAGAACCTTCCATTCTAACTTTTTACTTTGTACTTGGTCTAGAAAGAGAGAGTGGGATTCAGCCAGAGTTACTGTATTCTCCTATCCCAAGCACTTATTTAATCATTAAAATAAATGTACAGAAGGTGCTCAAAGTATTGAATAAAATATATTTAATAGAAATTCGTGTTTGATATTCATGGACATGAGTACATGTATTTTTTTAAGAAAAGATAACGTAACACTATGGCACTGCTTTTTATAGCCAAAATATAAAAAATTTTTTAGAAGACTGACATGTAAAGACTGCAGTTACTTTTGACACTGTGTCTTATTAAAATAGGATGAATTGTATTTTATAAAATTATCCAGCACATTAAGCTGCATGCCTTAAGCTCTCTGTAGGATTGTGTTCCTGATAGAACAGATTGTCTGTTTGGAACTATGAAGCAAGTCTATAGTACTACTTTAACTACCTTCTGAAATACTGTATGTTAGAATAATTTATTTTGCTTTACAGGAGTTTGTCATGTATTGACTTTAATATTGTATTTTGGTAATAAACTTTTTTGTTAAACACTTCTTAGTGTTTTGCCTTTATTGTACACTGAGACAAATATTTCACAGGGGAAAGTAAATACCGAGCCACTATTTGGGAAGGTGGAAGAAAACTACACCTTTTTGAAATGGGTAGGAAGTACCACCCTATGCAGATCCAATCTGAGCACCCAGACATAAGCACACTGCTTTTTTTTTTTCCTGTAGGGACTCATAGTTTAAACTAGGGATGTTAAGAGGCAGGTATTTAACTAACTGAGTAGTTGATATAATTTTTATTGATTACTCAATAGGCAGCCTGACTTAGTCCCAGCTTGCACCAGGTGCAGGACCAAACCCCGCTGTGGCTCTGCAATTTAAAAGGCAGTAGGAGCCAGGGAGCAGGCTACCTGGATTCTGCTGCCTTTTAAATTGCAGAGCCGGAATGAGGTTTGGTCCTGCACTCAGTGCGAGCTGGGCTGCTTGCCCAGCCAGCAACAGCCCCTGTCCACAGGAAGTCCCAGCAGGGAGTTGGGACCCCCCTCCCCTCCCTGCACACACAGGCTGCTGCCACAAAGCATCCCTGTTTGCTGGGAGCGGGGGTACCAATTCCCCACAGGACCCCTCCATAGACAGGGGCTGCTTCGCAGCAGCAGTCCTGCCCCCTCTGATAGAGGTAACAGTGAGGAGCACTGGCTGCTGCACACTCCCCCCCACACCCACACACACACCCCACTGGGAGGAGGAAAGGAATGAGTAGTTGACTGTTTCCTTACATCCCTAATTTAAACATAACTCATTACAAAACTATGACTCTCCATTCTAAAGTAAAGAACAGGTTGGACCTCTCTGGTCTGTCTCCCTTGGGACCTGACTGATCCCAGACAAGGGAGTTTCCTAGAACAGGGAAGATCTGGGCAGGGGGTGGGAAAGGGCACAAGCCTCTCCTCTGGGCTCCTATCCCCAGCTACCTGGCACCACTGCCTTTGCCCCTGTAGCTGTGGCAGCCCTGCGGGCTCTGACATCAGCCCTGTGCATGCTTGTACCACTCCAGGCCCTGCCAGCACTCACAGCCTCGCCTGCTGTGGGCTCTGCACCCCTTCCCTGTCCTCCCCCAAGTGAGAATCATCTGCACCTATACCCCCTTCCCAGACTCTGCACCCCTACACCCTGTCCCAGGTCACCACCACCTCCTTCAAACTCTAACCCTACACCCTTGCCTATACCCCAGTTCCCTACCTGAACTCCCTTCTGCACCCATTCTCTGTCCCAAACCCCACAGCCCCTTCATAGAAAAGGGCAACCCTTGAGCACTTACCAAAGTATTGGATAAACTTAAAACACAAATGGTCTGGTAGCACTTTATAGACTTAAAGCATGTAGAAGGTATCATGAGCTTTCGTGGGCATAGCCCATCCCCTAAAGCCTCCAAAGTGTTGGAGTGGACTCCCATCAAAAATTATCGCCCACCCTGCAGTATAGCTACACCATCCTTGATGTTGTCAAAGCTATTCTTAAATGATTACCTGCATCCTGCTTCAAAGACATTTTAACACCAGACATGAAAGAGAATCCTCTGAACTGTAATTCATGCTTAAATTTGACACTTTACGCTAGGTCTAAACAAAGACATTAATTACCTTACCCATTAGAAAGATAGCTTCCCCAGTTATCACCTCTAATATCATTAGCTCACAGACATTTACCTCCCCCCCCTCATCCCGCTTCTGTTCTGAAATTTGATTTGATTTGTCCTTTTCATATGTGTTCATTTTTTTTTATTGGGTCTGGCCCACGAAAGCTCATCACCTAATAAACCATCTTGTTAGTCTTTAAAGTGCTACATAGTCCTGTTTTTTGTTTCAGCTATTCTTAAAAAGCTTCAGTTATGGGGATTCCACAACCCCCTGGCTCGTCGATTCCAGTATTTAACTATCCTTAGAAAGCTTTTCTTGATATACAAGATAACTAAATCTCCTCTTCAGCAAATTCTTGTCCTGCTCTTAGTGAACATGGAAAACAATTGATCACTATCCTCTTTATAACAGCCCTCAGCATGTTGAAATCTGTTATCTAGTCTGTCATGAATCTTTTATCAAGACTAAACATGCCCAGTTTTGTTAACCTTTCCTCATAGGTCAGATTTTTAAAACCTTTCATTATTTTTGTTGCTGCCTTCTGGACTCTCTCCAGCTATCTACATCTCTCTCTTTTTTAGGTCAGGTCTACAATATAAACTTACACCTCTTGTTGATGTAGTTATTCTTGTGTGCCACAGCTATTCTAAGAGTGGTGTCTACCTTAGAGTTTATGTCAACAGAAGGTGGATTAACTAAATCAATGGGAGAAGCTCTTTTGTCAGTATAGTAGCCTATTCACTGAAGCACTACAGCAGTGCAGCTGTACCACTGCAGCATTGTAAGCATACAGCTACCCATAAAGTGTGGTATCCAAAACTGAACACTGTATTCTAGCTGAAGCCTCACAAATACCAACTGAACCAAAATAATTACCTCCTGTCTTCAGTACAATGGTACTGTTAATACACCCTAGAATATTAATTTGTCACAACTGCATCATACTGACTCATTTAATTTGTGATCCATTATAAACTCCAAACCCTTTGAATGCACTATTTCTGCTTAGCCAGTTATTGCCCATTCTGTAGCTTTGGGAAAACTCGGAATGAGCAGCCAGAAGTTTGGGAATGATCAACAGGGAATGAATCATTTGATGATTGTCTATTGTGTTCATTCCCTATTGAGCACCTGGCATTGGCTAATGTTGGAAGACACGATACTAGGCTCAATGGTCCTTTGGTCTGATCCAGTATGGCTGTTCTTACATATTGTGGGGTTTTTTTTCTTAAGTGCAGTACTTTTTGATTTTATCATTTTGATTTCAGAACACTTTTTCAATTTGGCAGGGTCATTTGAATTCTAATCTTACCTGCAGAAGGACTTGCAACTACTCCCAGTTTGGTGGTGTCAGCAAATTGTATGAACACATTCTCCATGCCATTATCCAAGTAATTAATGAAAATATTGACTGATCCTGGTCTCAGGGAAGACCTCTACAGAATTCTAATAGATACAGGCTCCTGATTTAACAGCAAACCATTGATAACTACTCTTGAGTGTGATTTTTTTTCAACAACTTGTACTGGTTATACTAATTTAATATAGATCACATTTATGAATGTAATGTGGGGCTTTGTTAAAAGCTTTACTAAAAATCAAGATGCTACAGCTTCCCGCATCCACTAAGTCGGTAATCCTGTAAAAACACTATGGCTGCGTCTACATTGGCATGATCTTGCGCAAATACTCTTTAATGCAAGAATTCTTGCGTTAAAGTATTT